GTTGTTGTTGTTGTTGTTGTTGTTATATTGTGGAAACTTAGTCCCATTTATTTGGAAAACATGACATATTTGCATACATTCCTAAAACAAATAAAATTATTAATCTTTTTTGCAAAAGCCGAAAGGGAAAGCTGAATTCTAATAATCACCTGTCGTCATGAAAGGGTAATGGTGTGGTAGTAGCTTAGAGTCATTCCCAGTACTCTCTGTTTCAGGTCTGGTTAAAGCGTGGTCATTCACTTTTAGAATCAATCTGATTCAAGATGGCCGCCACATCTAATCAAACATAGCAAACATAAAGATGGCTCAATAATTGTAGATATTAAGCAAAATTTGGTTAGTGATTTATGATTAAAAAGTATCAGCACGGTTGCTCAGTAGTTGTTGACTCTCAGCAAAAAGGTTGAATCTTTCTGGGTTTGCATCTTGACTTTGTGCATGTGTACATGTCTTGGATGGAATAAATAAAAATGTAAAATGTTTCCAAAAGTATAATAAAAATCAGAGTAAAGAGGAGAATTAGTTTTCAAAACTCCAGAGTTGTAAAGTAACTAAGTACAAATACTTTGTTACTGTATTTAAGTGGAAATTTTGCCTATCTGTACTTTACTTGAGTAATTATTTTTCAGCGTACTTTTTACTTTTACTCTTTACATTTTTACACAATTATCTGTACTTTCTACTCACTACATTTTTTAAAAAGGTAAGAAACAGACAGTCATTACTCCTATTTTATTCTGAGTTGTTATTACTAAAAAAATACTATCCTGATAAATTGTGTCTCCTGGATAGAGTGAATTTAATTGTGGTTGGATGAGAAGTATAAATACATTAAATACCATTCTGACACCCTATTACCTTGTACACAACCCATCACAGCTGCACGCCGTTAGAAAAAATATTTTTTGGAGAAGTCACCTCCCAATAAGTGTCATTTTGGAAAATCTAACTGCTCACTTTTACTCAGTACTTTTACTTTCAATACTTAAGTAGATTTTGTGTCAGAAATTTACTTTTGATACTTAAGTACAAAAAATTTCATATACTCTTAAGACTTTTACTCAAGTAATATTTTTAGAGGAGATTGTAACTTTTACCGAAGTATTTTTACGATAAGATACTTGTACTTTTACTCAAGTATCACTTTGAAGTACTTTATACAAAATGCAAAACTCCATTACAATTTATAGAACATCTGATTTTCTTTTTTATGTTCCTTACCTAGGGTGGTCTGCACCAGCAACCCATCAAGACAAATATGGACAAAGACAAGAAGATGCTTGTGTTATTTGTGCTTCTGGCAGGTAAACAACTAGTTCATCTTGTGGTCTTTCAACAGTTACAACTCATTAGTAAATTGATTCTTTTTTCACTGACACTAATTCAGGTGTTTGCAGCCTTGTGTCTTGTGGAGTGTGGAAGGCCAGTGTAGTACAACGTATGGAAGCCCTGGTATCCTCTTGTGCTGTGGTGCCATGTTCATTCAGCCATCCTGGAGGAGAGCTGCCTTCTTCCAGACTCAGAGGCATCTGGCATCGTAGTGCAGATAAAAAGCAAATCATCTACCACGAAGATGCATCAAAGATCTTGGACAGCTTTAAGGAACGAACAAAGCTTTTGGGAAGACTGGGTCAGAACAACTGCACCCTAGAAATAACGCAAGTTAAAGATCACGACAACGGCCCTTTCTGTTTCCGGATTGAACTGGTTAAAACAGACGACAACAATCCCACTACAGACATGTTCTCCTTTGTTGAGTCTTGTGTTGGTTTCTCGATGCTTCGTATGTCACATTTTCATGACTTGGTATATCTGTTCATTGGTTGTTCCTGTAAACCTATACGCTACTTAAATTACATCTGTTTATTTTATTTATRCAGATGAGCCTCCAAAACCTAAACTGGGATCGTCTAAGATGGCCAAAACTGGAAAAGCTTACACAGTCCCGTGTTCAGTTCGCCACACGTGTTCCTCACACATGCCTAAACTGACGTGGAATAAGGGAACCAGAGACGAGATCACTGAGATTCATAAAGAACTGAGTTTAGGGGTCTGGGAGACAGAGTCCATCTTAACGTTTTTTCCTCAGGATTCGGATGATGGCACTGAGCTGACCTGCACAGCAGCGTTTCATGGAGGGGTGCAATCCCAAACAAGTTTAACACTCAACGTCAAACGTAAATTCAAAGACAAAAAAAATCACTAAATCTTAAAAGATTATCTGTTTTTACAGTTTGAAGGTTTATTTTTAGATGTGAAAATTACAGAAACATTTATTTTGTTTGCAGAAACTCTAAACCATAACCACATCATCATTCCTGTTGTGGTGGCGGTGGGTACTGCTCTGGTTTTTGGAGGCCTCTGCATTTTTATGATGAAGAAATACAAGTGAGTCGTAATAAAGTACCAACAACTTCTTTGTTTAGCAAATACATTTAAATGCTTCTAAAATAAAACAAGTTTCCCTTTTGATTTGTTTTTTGTACCTTTGGTCTGCTGAAGGACACGCATTGCCGAGCTTCAAAACCAGGATGGCAGGTAAAAATACATTAATAATAAGTTTGTGCACAATTTTTGAAATGCTGTTTTTTTTTTCCTAATATTGTCCATCTTTATTTGGGGTGAACATTTAGCATGTGGAACCGGATGTCCAGAATGTCTCGCAGGTGAGAATACAATACTTAGGGGTGGCTTCCATTAAAAGCAAGCGTTCATGTACTTCTGTACATTTTGTGTGTCCATTTATCTGTATGTTAGCAAAATCTCTCATTAACCATAATTTATTTATTAATTTTAAACTCAAAAGCATATTGAAGTGTCTTCATTAAATCATACAAAATGTGTGGAAATGGTGTTTAAAAAAAAACGTAAAATGGTATATGGTAAATGGGGTAAACTTATATAACGCCTATATGGACCCCAAAGTGCTTTACACTTTATCCATTCACCCACACATTCACACACTGATGGTGGTAAGCTACATTGTAGCCACAGCTGCCCTGAGGCACACTGATAGAGGCGGGGCTGCCATGCACCGGCACCACCCAACCCTCTGACCACCATCAGTAGGTATGGCGGGTGGAGTGTCTTGCCTAACAACACAATGACTGAGACAGCTGGAACGGAGGATTGAACCGGCAACCTACTGTATAGGATGACTCTCCTAACCACTCCACCACAGCTGCCCCAATAAAATAATAAAGGCATTAAAGAAAATTTTTGCTTAATTTCCAGGAACTATTATAAAAATGAAAACTTAATTTACATTATATGATTATAAGAATAAGATACAAACACGTAACAAACACTGACTGAGCATTAAGCATTACCAGGCGGAAGAATTTAGAATTGAACGGTTCTATGAAACAAATGGAACATGAAGAAAGGCAGCTCTGGGTGTACGTGTGTCTGCATCAGATTAACATTTGGAGTCAGCCTGGTTGAAAAAAACAAACTAGCTGTAACTCTGACTGAGCTAAACATGTGTGTGGTAGTATGATTCAAGAACTGCAAGACCGTTTTTAGTTGAAAAAAGATACAAAGCCATATTGATGCGCTGTGACATTAAATTCACACAGGCTTTATTTTGTGAAAATTTTAGGCTTCGCTCTGGGGGAAGGACCACAGCTGGGGGACCATCTCAATCTGAGCAAAGGCAAACCATTTTTGTTCTTCTATAAATACGAGCTGGAAATTTTTTGACGAATGTGTTTTCTGTTCTGCAATTTTGGGCAACGAGCAAGTTTGTTGCCTTAGTTTGTCTTAATGTGTTGAGGTTTGATGCCTTTTTTTTCTTTGGGTAAAATGTGCCTTAAGACATTTGTATGTAGTTTTACTTCTTCTTTTTTGTGTGCAGAAGGTCTATTTAGAGCARATTTTCTAGTTAATGTGTTAAAATGCTAAAGAACTTTACATGAACTAAAAAAGATTTTGTCTTTTGGTTAATCTTTCATTTACTGTTTGTAGCTGTAACAAAAAAGCACTTTCTTAACAAATAAAATGTACTTTTTGTGTAACAGGAGGCCTCCACGGGACAATAGGGACACAGGTTATTGGTAAGACCAATACATAGAAAAATGTTAGCAGAATATATATTTTTGTGACTGTAACTGTATTRTTTCAACCCACAGTAAAAATAATGCACATGGTGAACAAAAACTCAATAAACCTCGTTTACCATCCCCAAAAAGGTAATAATTTCCCCCAGACTCAACCACAATACTATTTAATCATTTTAATGTGTAAAATGTCTCATGTCTATGTTTTAATGTTGTTGGAATTCAGCCAGCAGAAGTCCTACGATTACAACAAGGTACGCTTTATTTTTTACATTTAATAACTTTGTAGAATTATGGTAAATTCAGTGCACTGATCCAATCCACAGCTATGATAATGGTCTTTGTTTTTCACAGGATAACGATGACGATGACTACATGAACACGGCAGATCTTAGCATCTACGGAAATGTGTGAAAAATTCAGTTTTTAATCAATAAGACATGCAGCCTTTTTATTAATGATCATCACTTATTATCAGCTAGCTAGAGATTTCTTTACAATTAAATGTTTGATTCATTGCACAGGGTCATAGCTTTCAGCTTGGTCCTTTATCTTATTTTTCCATCTTGTCAGCACTCCAGAAATACGGTAGATCAGCAATAGATAACTTATTATTTATAGGTTTTTAAAATATTAGAGATTTTATACAGCATGTCACATAGTCATAAAAAGTTTAAAAAATTGGTAGTTTTAGTTTGTTTATCTCATTTGGTACAAGACAAACTAGTTGGAGCAAATGTTTTTCATTGACTGTTGATTCCCTCTTACACTTTTTAAGCTGAGGCAAAATGAGAAAAATCCCTGCTCTGCTATTTTGTAAACCACATGTACAGTATGCTTATAATTACTTCTCATAATCATTTTATTCAGTGGTGGGCAGCGCTAATCTAAATATTAGTTGCACTAAGCCTAAAGCTGTAACTCAAATATTTAGGTCCCTTAATTCTAAAGCACTAACACACTGAAAACTTTAGCAAAAGTTAATTCTTTTTTTAAAGCAAAAACTAATTCTAAAGCACTAACATAACCCAGCTGACACATGGAACATTCTTCAGAGTCAACACAATCTCATTTACTGTGTACAGAATGTTGTCACTCAGTGCCCTTGGCGGGCCAAATTGGAGTCACCCGCAGACTGCATTTGGCCCGTGGGCCTTGAGTTTGACATGTGACTTTGTAGATAAATGAGACACATATGAACAACTTGTGTGACAGCTTTCACCCTCAACTGTGAACAATAAGGTTGATCAATAACATTTAAAGATCTTGTTTAGTGCTTATAAATTTAGCCCATAAATTTAGCAAGTGCTAGTCCACTTAAAAAAATAGCAAAAACCCTAAAGCACTAATAAGGAAATTTGTACCCATATTTATACTTTAGTGCTATAGTGGAATTGTGCCCACCACTGATCTTATTCTATATAGTTGTTTTTTAACTGTAATTAATTCTATATATGGCAACTGTTACTTACATATAACA